GTTACATAACACTTGAATGCCTCTTTTCCACTGTTTTAAAATGTTCATGTTCGCTTATTGCCATATTTTTAACCTTTTCTTTTGAAGTAATTTCAAATTTAAAACTTGTGAATCTGACCAAAACCATAAATATATAGCTATTCCTTTTTTCCAAAGAGATTATCAATAGTTTTTAACATTTTACAATGTCTGTTTTATTTTTCTCTCTCCTCCTTCCTTGGAGGCAAGGATTCTAAGGCTTTGTCTGACATACTTTGGACATGTTGTAGGGAGGGACAGGTCCTTGGAGAGGGACATCATGCTTGGTAGGGTGGAGGGACAGCGCAGGAGGGGAAGACCCTCTATGAGGTTAGTCGGGATGGGTGTGTCAGAGGCAGTGCGATTGGCACAGGATAGAGCAGGGTTTAGGGCTGTTGTACATGGGGTCACTATGAGTCACAAACGACTCGACAGCACATAACAACAACAACAACAACTCCTCCTTCCTGTTTCTTTCTCTAGATAACATTATTAGACAACTGGCTGCATTTACACTTTTTTGCATTTGTACGTGTGTATGTGCTTATCTCTCTCTCTTACAAAGAAACACAAATGTAGAAGTTCCTGGGTGTTAGAGTTTGTGCTCTGCTGTTCACTGAAAGGTGGGTGTAACCAAACTGGTTACTGTCAAGTCTCTCATGACTCCTGGCCTCCTCATGCGTTACAAGAGGAGGACTGAGCTCTAGACCATTTTTAGGCTGTAAATATTGGAAACATATCTCCAGGCATTTCTTCTGTGATATCTCCAAGCTACTTTCAAATGTCTAACTTTTCAGTTACTATATAGGGTGAATGTGTGTACATGTGTGTGTATATGTATATATTTTCCTAGTGAGAGTTACATGTTGAGCTGATAACTGAAAAGTTGTCAGTTCAAATCCACCAGTCCCTTCACAGAGAAAAGATGCTGCAATATGCGCCTGTTGAGATTTACAGGCCGTTACCTCTCCATGTTTTTGTAGAATGTTTAGAGTTAGTAATATTAAAGCCATGGTACGAGCCTTAAGGATAATTGAGATCATTAAGGTCCCCGAAAATGACTACCTCTGGGGGGAAAAAAAAGATATACAGTCCTGAAAACCAGTGGAGGGTCACCATGAATCAACTTCATGGCAGTGGGGTTTGTTGTGTTCTTGGTATTTGTAAAAGATAATCTCTTAAAGCTTCTTAGATGGGATTCAAAATCAGAAACTTAGTATGTTATAAAAGTAGGTCGTTTCTTATTCACATAAATAATGCGTTTTCTGAAAACTCTTTCCTAATTCTACTTTTTAATGTATATGTAAAGTAACTTCTTTCTAATTTGTCAGTAATTTCCCTTTCAATGGCACTTTTTTTAAAAAAAAGGAGGAATAATGTGTTAGAGCTAATGACTTGGAGAGATGTTGCACCTCTATAGTTGCTGTACAAGTTGGCCCAGTAGTTCCTCTCTCCAGTGGCTGCAAGGTGTTTCTATCAGAGGTTGGACTGATTGAAGCATAGTTATCTGTTTGAATGATCTTATTTACTTTATTTGACTCACACAGCAAAATACATTTGTGTGATGTGCAGAAATAATTTGCTTCTCTTTACCCTTTTACTCTTCAAGCTTAAGGTCTTTTAGAGATGGTGCAGTTAAGAAACCTCATTCTCTAAGGACACCATCCAGCAAGAAGTCTTCTGCTCTCTCTGTGGTTCAGAATCAGTTACCTAGTACCAGGCATCCAGTTCAACGTCGTGCCTTACATACTTGGAACCGGAAGGGCCGGTTAAGAGAATTACGTCTCAGGTGAGGGTACCTTTGATCACCTGCCTACAGTGTCTTCTTCTTTGTTCTCCTTTTTTGGATTATGATGAGGATGTGATTCTTGAGTTCATGTCTCAAAAGACCATGATGCCTGCTCTATGTAGCATTGTTGTTGTTGTTGTTGGGAACTGACCCATAGCTGACCCTCCGGTGGGTTTTCAGAGGCAGTTAATTGCACAGGAGTAGATTGCCCATCCTTCTCCTGCAGAGCATTATGATGAGATAAAGATCATCAGGTAGATTCAAACCGCATACTTTTGTGATTGTAGCGTAGCTTCTTACCATTAGGCCACCAGAGCTCCCTTAAGGAGCATAAAAATGCTTTCTGGCAATTGGAATTAGATCACCTAATAGGGTTAGGTTTTTTGTAAGTTATCCATCTATATTAGGTGCTATTCCTGCCTACGGGGAACTGGGAAGGGACAGGGAAAGAACAGAACATATGTTAGCAAAAATTCTATGTAAGTGTGATCTATATGTTTGTAAAATCAAACCTAGAATAAGTGCATTGCCAGAAAGTTCTCCCTTACGACATAAAATGAGTGTTTTTTGTTCATGGTTTCTAATTATGCTCAACAAAGTATATGCTGTAAAATTCTTTCAGATAAAGTTCCAAGGAACATGATAATTTTCTACACTTCTTGTTTAGGTATACGAGCTAAAGACATTCTTTTATTAATTCAACAAAAATCTACTGGGTGGCTAGGGGGTGTTGTGCTAGAATCTGGACATGCAAAGTAGGTTAGATTTTCCTGGTCTGTGGCCTCATGAACATTTAAAAGCAGGCAGGTTGACAGACCATATTAGAGCTGTGATGAAGAATGGTACTGTGGAGGAAGAATGTGGTGCAGAAACCTGAAGAATGTGGAAAGGAAATGAAAGGATGTGAAAGCTAGGAAAGACCAGAAGAAGGACAGTTCTAGGCTGAACCTAGGGTTTAACTAGGCAAGAACATAACATAAATTTAACATAACATGAACATAAATTTAATTGATATTTGGAAGTAAGGCATTTGTTACTGTGGTATAACTTAGCCTATACCAACTAATGCCATGTTCTAGTTTAGTGTTGAGTAAATAGCTAAGAAATGAATGAAGTGATGGATTAGTGGGGGGAAGACTATAAAAGTTAATCTTAGGGAGCTCTAGTGGCCTAGTGGCAAGAACCTGCACTGCAATCCAGATGTATGCAGTTAGAGTCCACCAGATGCTCTGCTGGAGAAGGAGGGACACTCTCCTCCTATACTAGTCAGATCTGATTTGACAGTACATACACACAAAATAAAAATAAAATTTTAAAAAAAGTTAATCTTTAGATTATGTCTGCACATTTAAAAGCAAGTTGTCCTCACAACAAGGAAGAATATTGAATGTACCATGGATTGCCAAGAAAACAAACAGATTCATCCTGGAGAGGGTTAAACCAGTCTACTCCTTGGAGGCAAGGATTCTGGGGCTTCATCTGACATACTTTGGACATGTTGTAAGGAAGGACCAATCCTTGGAGAGTGACATCATGCTTGGGAGGGTGGAGGGACAGCCGGAGGGGAAGACCCTCTATGAGGTGGATTGATCCAGTGACTGGGGTAGTCGGGATGGGTGTGTCAGAGGCAGTGCAATTGGCACAGGATAGAGCAGGGTTTAGGGCTGTTGTACATAGGGTCGCTATGAGTCGCAAATGACTCGATGGCACATAACAACAACAACAACAACATACTGAGACCAGGGGGAGAAAGATGGGCAATACATACAGCCTTTGGAAATCTGCTGAAGAGTCAATTCTAAGTTGGTTCTGACTTAAAGGCACATGACAACAACAACAACAATATTGAGACCATGTGTATTGTCCAACCCAAGGTCTGCACATCTATATAATATCCAAAATATTAGTTTTTCAACACCCCATTTATTCTTTGTTTACCAGAAATTGTAGACCATGTATATCAGTGGCTGGATAGCTAGTTTTCTTTGTAAACTGGTTGTTGATAAGAAGTCAGCCAGGCACTTTTGTAGCTGTTGGGGAGGCTACAGGATTTGATCTTTATTCTCAAGGGCTCACAATGATAGGAATCACAGTGAGCCAGTTACTGTGATGAGGCATCATAATGTTAAAACTCAAGTAGGCATAGACAGAACAAAGCTATTAACTTTTAGGTTGAAGAAGTTTCAATGTTTCACATGAAAACAGGCATTGAAGATGAGTCTGGTTGGATGTGTGGGCATTTGCCAGATGATTTTGGCAAGGAAACTGTGAACAAGACCATTATCATGTATTGCCTTTCTTTGATTCTGAAATCTGTACTTTCATTTACAAAACACTTTATATTGGAGATATTTCTTAATAAGGCTTGATTTTAGTGTATATATCTGTCCTATTTTAAACTGTTTTATGCACGATTGGCTATGATGTCTTTTGGCCCATACTAGCTTTGAGACCTTAAAAATTTCTCCTTCTTGCCAGAAAACCAATGACATAAGCTGATTGGAGTTTTTAAAAACATACATCATTTCTTTTTCCTTCTTTCAGATGTGTTGCCAGAAAGTTCTTGTATTTGTGGATTCGAAAGACTTTTGGAAGAATATTTCCCTCTAAAGCCAGGTAGTATTAGCTTTCAGAATACTCAATTTCGAATGAATTAATTCTAGGTTTGTTTTTATAACAGGTTTCTAATTAGTCTGTTCTAGTTTGATTTTATAGACATATAGATCACACTTACATAGAATTTTTGTGGTTAACATATGTTCTTCCCTTGAGCCTCCTCAGTTCCCTGTAGGCAGGAATCATACCTAATATAGATGGGTAACTTAAACAGAAAACCAACCCTGTTGCCACTGAACCAGTTCCAATTTACAGTGACTGTGTTGGATAGAGTAGAACTGCCCTATAGCATTCCTCAGGTTATATTCTGTATCTTGTTCATAGGGTTGCTGTGAGTTACAGTTGACTCCACAGCTTCTAACAACAGAAACCTTTATGGAAGCAAACTGCCCCATCTTTGTCCCACAGAGCAGTTGGCTAGTTTGATCATCAAACTTTTTTGGTGATCAGGTCAACTTTCAACCACTGTCATCAGACTTCCTCAGTAGATAACTTCTTGCTGGCAGATGTCATAAACCTGACTTGAACTCATAGCAACCCTGTGTACACAAAACATGCCCAATCCCACACGATCCTCACGGTCACTTAACACATACTCTACACAGATACAGCCTCTTAACCTACATAGAAAAATCCAATCCCCAATATGATGATGATGATGATGTTGTATACCAGAGTTGAAACTGACCCTCTAGTGGGTTTCAGAGGCGGTCAGTTAATGACACAGGAGGAGACTACCCAACCTTCTCCCTAGGAGTAGCTGGTGGCCTTGGACCGCATGTCTTCAGGATTGCAATGCAGCAGCTTCTTGCCACCAGTCCATCAGAGCTCCCTATAGCCATAGTTACACTATTTTTTGATGCCTTTGAATTAGCTCTAACTCTTAGGGACCTTGTACACAACAGCACAAAATACTGTCCAGGCTAGTGTCTCCTCATAACTTCTGCTGTGTTTGAGCCATTGTTGCGGACACTGTGCTGGTCAGCCTCACTGATAATCTTCCTCTTTGTCACTGCCCCTCCTTTTTATCACTGGTGATATCTTTCTCCAGGGACCAGCTCTTCCTAATAACATACTCAAAGTACATGCGTCAAAGTCTCACAGTTCTCACTTCAAAGGGCCATTCTGGCTCCACTTCTTCCGAGTCTGGTTTGTTTTCTTCATTCTGCAGCCCATGGGAGATACAATATTCCTCACCAACACCACACTTCAAAAAGTGTCTATTTTTCTTCAGTCTTCCTTATTTATTATCCAGCTTTCACATGCATGTGAACTAAAACCTTTTCTTTTTCATTTTTCTAACAGTATGGTTTTCCTAACCAGGGATATCTTCCAAGATATATGCACAAGATAAAAGTATAAGAAAACCAAATTAGTGTGTCTTCTGAAATGTTTTCTTTGTGTACCTTCCAAAGGGCCTTCTGTTCTCCATCTCTTCTCATGGGAAGTGACACTTCTGTGATCTCAGCTCATCATGGCCATAGTTTTTAGGCAGATTTTACCTCTCGGGTTTCTTCTCTCTTTTTGGAGCTTATTGTTGTTGTTAAATGCCATTGAGTCATAGGCGACTCATAGCGACCGTATGAATGAAAGTCCTGAACTCCTCCTGTATAACTTTTGTCCTTTCTCCAGGTTCATAGGGTTTCCAGAGGCAAACTATTATGGAAGTGGATGCCACTCCTGCTTCCAAGCTTGTTTTAATCGACAAGCTCCACCAAACACTGTTCACCATGGGTAACCATTCTCACATTTGCCTCATCAGTGTCACAGTGTTCGGCTTCACAGCAACCACGAGTTACCTCTGTACAGCAAGTGGACATACAAGGGTTATACAACCTAGAAGAATGTTTCACCAAAAATAATTAAAGGCAGGCCTGAGCTTAGCTTTGTCTTTTTTTTCACCTAATAGTTCTTCATGACTTGGATCAGGTACACCTTACTCTTTAAACTAGCATTCTTGCTCTTTAGAACTTTGGAGAGGTTCTTTTTTTATTAATTTCTTTTTATTAATTTTAGTGAAAGTTTACAGAGACTTAGGGTTCCCATTCATTCATTGTTGCACTTTTCTCCCTGTCCACCCCCTCACCCCAATTCACTCTTCTCCTTGAAAAATAAAAGAAAAACTTTTTCATTGTTTTGCAATTCCTCCCCCTAAGTCCACTCCACTATGTAGCCTTCACTCTGGACTCCTGTCATGACAATAATACCCAATCATATAGCCCTTTTAAACAGTTCTCTCCCTCATCTGTTTCAATGCAGTATACATTGTTCATCCCCTCCTTCTCAGTCTTCCCTCAACCCTAATGTTAGTACTGTTTTACAACAGTGGCCCTATGCAATATTTGTCCTTTTGTGACTGAGATATTTCACTCAGCATAATGTCATTCAGGATCACCCATTTTGTATAATATTTCACAAGTTCCTTGTTTTTCAATGCTGCATAGTATTCCTTTGTGTGAATATACCAGAGCTTCTCTAGCCATTCTTTTGTTGATGGGCACTTGGGTTGTTTCCAGCTCTTTGCTATTGTGAACAAAGCTGCGATAAACATGACTGTGCATATGTCTGCTTGGGTGGTGGTTATGGTTTCTTTACGGTAAATTCCCAGTAGCGGAATTGCTGGGTCAAATGATGTTTCTATTTGCAACTTTTTGAGAAGGTGCCATACAGCCTTCCATAGTGGTTATGCCATTTAACGCTCCCACCAACATTGAATAAGGGTTCCAATTTCTCCGCAACCTCTCTAGCATTTGATGTTTGCTGTTCTGTTACATTTTGCTATTCTTTCTAGGGTAAGAGGATATCGAATAGTTGTTTTGTGGAGAGGTTCTTGATAGTAGATTTCCCCAGACTGACACAATTTTTGATTTCTTGACTGCTGGTAATGTAGGTGTTGATTATGGGTAAAGTGAAATAACTGGCAACTTCAGTCTTTTCTTCATCTAGCATGATGTTCCCTATTGGTCCAGTAGTGAGAATTTTTGTCCTCTTTCTCTTGAGATATCAGACATATTGGAGTTTTTCCTAGTCTATAATAAGTGGTTCAAGCAAGGCTGTGTCATTTGCATAACACAAGTTGTTGATGTGTTTTCCTCTGATCCTGATGCCACATTCTTCTTCATATAAGCCAGCTTCTCTAATTATTCACTTAGCATGTAGATTGAACAGCTATGGAAAAAGTCCAGACATACACTTTTCCTGATTTCAAACCATGCAGTATGCCCTTGTTCTATTTGGACAAGAGTTATTTCGGTCTAGGTTTCACATGATCACAATTAAGTGTTCTCAGATTTCCATTCTTTTCAACATTAGCTGTAATTTATTATGCTCCTGTGATGTTAGCCTAAAATTTGGCTTTTTTTAGCCATTAGCCTCTCTGGTCTCCAGCTACCCTAACTGCAGACACATGGCCTTGCAAATCACCATGATCTTGCTAATCATCAACAGCTGAAGCAGCAGTATAAAGAGAGCACACTCTGCACTAGAGGATGCGTGAAAACACTAACACAGGAGTGGCAGTTGACTGTGTTTAAGTGTCCTGCTGCATCCAGCCTGGCCCATTGCTCACCAGTTTCTAGAAAAAACCCAGCCTGCATACCTACAGTCTCGTGAGTCGTTCCCCCAAGGAGTCTGAGTTCCTGGAGGACCTTCAAGCAAATCTTCGAACCCATATAGAGGAATTGGGGAACTAAGCTACAGTATGGACTTGTACAACTGGTTAAGCATTTGGGAGTACAGTGACCTGAGGCTTCTCATAAATGGCCTGCTATTAATCATAGCAGAACAGATTATAAAAACAGATCTATCCAGGCAAAATGTCTTTGAATAGCCAATAAAACACATAGACATCCTTCTGGTATTATTTGCTTTCATCCAAGATCTGTCTGACATCAGTAATGATATATCCCTTGTTCCATGACCTCTTATTTTTCACCAGTACCTTCAGCACAACTTGGACTTCTTTCTTAAATACTTTTAGTTCTTAATTTTGTGTTTCTTCCTGAAATGATTCAGTGTTGACAAATTCTTTTTGGTACAGCAACTTGCTATTCCTCCCATCTTCTTTTGATACTTCCTGCATCATTCAAGATTTTGCCCTTAGTATCCTTCAGTATTATATGCAACTCAAGGTTTGAATTTGTTCTTCAGTTTTTTCAGCTTGAGAAATGCCAAGTGTGTGTTTCCATTTTGGCATTTCTCAAGCTGAAAAAATTATAATTTTTTAT